TTTGAATTATGTGCTCTAAGTCGTGATAAATCTTCAGTAGAAATAAACGCTCCACGTCTAATTTCTACCTCATAAATCCCTCTATTTGAATAGATAATAATATCACATACAGGGTATTGCATTTCATCATGACAAGTTAATATTCATAGGAATAGACAAATATTGAGAATATCAGAATTTCTATTTTTACTCAATCACTGAAAACTTGGAAACAAACTGCTAGAATCGGCCAATTATTTGGCACACTATGGATCTTGATCATCAACATGAGGATTCATATGATTTCCTCTGAAACAATGTCCCGTTTGCCATATATAGGGTGATGACAATTTGAAAGCTTAGAATTGATGTAACTCATGTATAAAATGAGATACATATCACCAATGGTTCATAACTGTTTATATAATAATAATACAATGGAAGATAAGGACGACGACAGCTTGTTGCCTAATAATTTCGCGAATGACATTGTTCATGAGAACTATCGAGCAGTAGGCGAGATGTTTTGAATCAATGTCATGAACGAAATTAAAGCAGTACGCTGGAGTATGTCAATCGACAAATATTTCCAGGAAAAGTAGCATCATGAGTTGTCTTCATATGAATATTTCATAATTGGGACAATAAACGAGCGCCTCGCGAAAGTTGCACACACTGCATCCATAATTTTGGCTTGCAACATGATTGACGTTTTAAATGTCAAAAATGTTATCGCCGAAAAACGTGGTTGGTTGGTCATGTGTGGGCCAATTCGGCTTTTGTATTGGTAGAGCAAGTCTGATAAAATTTAGTTAACAAAAAATATCACTGAAATACAAGAGAAAACGTGAAAATGGTCGATTCTGATTGGTTCTCAAGAACAACAGTGAAATAGTCATATGTTATACCACAAGTGATACTATTATGCCGGAATTATTTGGCGATTGTTGCCTGCTAACATCAAGTGACAGTTATTAAAACTATGGAGCCGTAGGCGTCAATCGACGAATATTTCCCAATAAAAATAATATCACAAGTTGTATTCCTATGACTATTTCTTGATTGAATATTGAATCAGACAATGAATGATGATAATACAGAAATCCGTGCCGTCAAAATCGAATAATAATTATAATTTACGTTTCAAATGTCAAAAGTATTATCAACAGTAAAAACAAGACCTTTTTCTTATAGGATAAATTTCTCTTCCTAAGGAAAAGAATTTGCCAATCAGTGATTTTACATTATTCCAGATTTTTTTGGATTTTCTCTCCTCCTTTCCATAAAATAAAAATAGGAATATTATTTCAATATATGTGTAGTTAGGACAGATCAGATGATTTGCCCGAAAATGTCACTGAGTTCAAAGAATTTTCCTATCAGAGCCTAAAAGAAAAATCCACTAGCTTGTCAGTGACAATTTGTATAGATTATAGATATATAGACAGTTGATATAGATAGAACATGGTATTCACTATTGAAATCTGAAAATGAAAATGGTAAATTCAAGATTAATTAATGAAGACATCCTGTAACTCATTTGATTGCCAACGTCACCAATTGTCACTGAGAACTGAAAAGTGTCAGGACAAATACGAATTTGGGATACAAAAAATCAATTTTTTATGTTGAAAACAGTAGCAGATTTGTTCCCTAAACGCCCAAAGCTAAGTAAAAATCCGATAGTTTTTCTATATACCTTTATTTCTCTTATCCAAAATTTTTTCAATACATCAATACAAATTGTCACTGACAAGGTAGTGAATTTTTCTTTTGGGGCAAATCATCTGATTTGTCCTTACTATATATGTATATTGAAATAATATTCATATTTTTATTTTATAGAAAGGAGAAAATCCCAAACAATCTGGAATAATGAATGTATCATTTCCTGGATTAACCTACAGACAATATTCAGTAATTTTACCATAAAAACTGTCCTGTTCAAAAGTTACAAGATGGCGGACGTATGTGGCGTGTGTGTGAAAATACTTGCATATGCAATTCATATGCAATTCAATGTACAACTTGTGTGAAATGGTATCATAGTAAATGCATTAAAATGCCAATAACAACATTCAACCAGTTTGCAAATGAATGGAAGAACCCTAAAGGAGATAAATACACATGCAGGCCTTGTAAACAAAGTGGGTTTATGTTGCCCCTAAATATTGCTAAAAACCAGCAAACATCAAATGTGAAATGTGTACAAAGAATCACAAATGATGATATTATGACCAAATTGATCAATATGGATGGTAGATACAGTGATCTTTTGGTGGAGTTATCATACACTAAACTCAGAGATCACATCAATAAAAGCATGTTCACTTGATGAAAGGCAAGGTAATGAAAACAATGCTGATCTAGTATACATAGAAATTCAAGATAGAGCAGCCGGATCCAAAAATATACTAATTCAAAAATTGCTTATCACCCATGATATAAAACTATGTGAAGAATTATTCAGTCAGATGGATATTTGTGCACTTGATATTAAAGTTATGCCTCTAGGTAAACCCTCCAACAAACCTGGACCATTGAAAATCATCTTCTCAGATAGTAACTACACTTTTATGTCTGAAAAATAAAAGTCAGAAGATTCAAATATATGTTTCTGTGTGGATGAAACAATCACATGAAGATACTATCTGAAGTAACTTCACAATGAGCTAGAAGATAGCAAGAGAAATGGAGAGCAGAATATTTCAATCCCTTATAAGTTTGGTGTTCCTCAAATTGTGAAAAGCAATCATAACAGTTCAAAAAACTGCAAAGACATCTGAATGTGTACTGCCAAAATGCTGGTGGTCTCCATACTAAAATTGATAGCCTAAAACATGCAGTAAACTTATGTATCTATTATGTGATTATTCTAGTGGAATTTTGGCATGCTAATGAAATCTCCAACAGCAAAATCCATTTCAGTGAATTCAAAATAAATTCGTTTGGAAAAATATTGCTCACATAAAATAATTATGATAAAGGAGGTACAGGTTTTTGAAGGTTTACAGAAGACTCCAACTGTAAAACATGTTGTTTGAATTTTCGCAAAAAAACGCAAAGAAGTCATTATTAGCACAGGATTAGATACAGTTGCATTATTTCATCAGGAAAATTAATCAAAAACTTCTATTTACATTTTCAACCTATTAATTTTCGTTCTTAGTACAGAATTAGATACCATACAGTTGCATTATTTCATCAGGAGAATTAATCTAAATCTTCTTTTTACATTTTCAACCTATTAATTTTCATTTTGAAGTGAACCAAAATACTTTAGGAGGAAAATTAAGTATCAGGCCAAACAACTTATTTTGGTGAGATATATACCCTGTTGAATGAAAAACCTCACTTTCAGATCCACCCTGTATATGGGTGTGATCAGAATGTGCTGACTAGCACCAAGAGTAGAGGCATACTAACTGCTACATGTAAATGTTATGTGACTAGAATGACCAATATTAGAGAGTTGAAGTGTTGTCATGAACGTAAACGTAAACGTAGAAATTGACAGCTATGCATGTGCATTTTCCAATTCTTCATGTTTGCGTTGTTAGTCGGCGAAATATGCCGATGAGTCAAAATTATCAAATTCGAGATCACCAATGAGTTCTGCCGAGAGTTCTGCATCAAGGAGTCCTCTAATTTTGACAGGAATAAATGTTCGAATCTAAACACACAACCAAAAATGACCAATACAAACCAAAAACAAGATGTATTATTACATTATGATGACAGTGACGACCAAAGTGGCGACTTCAACTCAATTTTGAACACATAATAATGTCTTTTTAGAACCTGTACGTACTAATATTGGCCTAAATAATCCATTACATCATGCATGAAAACTCATAACACTCTCCTGGAGGAAATAACAGATAGCCCTAATATCAGTATATTCAAGAATAAAATAAAAAAAATTTACACCTGCATACTTGATGAATGATCGGCATAAATCTCTTCTTCATTTCTCTTCATTTCTCTATCCCAGAATTATTGTTAGATTTCAAGTTACATAGGTATTATAGAATTCTTAAGTGAATTTTCAATAATATGTATATGATAATTATGTATATTGTTTAGCTAGTTTTCCGAGACCAGCATGTCAGTGCTGCTTTGGAAAGCCTTTTTCGAATAGTGTTGTTATTCCAGATAACTTAAAACTGTGACTGTAACCATTGCTGCATTATTCGAATAAAGTTCTTGGAAAAAAAAATTATTTTTCCTATGTTAACGTCGACGTGGAGGTCTACGTACAGTGATTACTTCAACTCTCTATTGAGAATCATGGTGTAGAACAACTATTTGTCAGCTTGAAACATGGGCCCAACAAATACATCATTGGATGAGTATATATATATATATATGGAACCAGTGTATATAGGGGGTAGCAGAAGTGTGAAAGGAATACTCTTTATGGTTCATCCAAGCTTTTGGAAATGTTCATTTCCATCATCAGAAATACTACAATGATTGAAGAGTGTAAATACATTGGAAAACACTATGGCCATGCCTTGTACTTACAAATTTACAACATAGATAGAGAATTACTGGTACTTATTTCATTATAGATCATATTTTTTCAATATAAGCTCAGAGATGACTAGATTCCTCTCCATTCAGCAAGATTTGCTGTTCATTTGAAAGTGTATGACCATGAAAAAAAAATGCTGCACAATATTTGGAGTTACCTTAACTACCTTCAGATTTTTTGAATATGGAAACCCTATTGGTGACAGCTAATACACCAAAAATTATTTCAAAATTAAACATTCATTTTGATATAAGAAACCCAGAAAAATTAATATTTCAGTTTGTCTGGCACCATTATCATGATCATTCTGACTTGTTATAGTTATTTGTATCTGGAACATCAAATTAACACTATTCAATTCCATTAAGATGTATCCTTGTCAAATAATTTAAGGAAATTGGAAACTGACCTTAGGTAACTTTAGCATACATAGTGAGGAAAAACATGATTAGGAGCCAACTTGGTTTTGGAGAATTTAACTCACCTTCATTCTTGAAAGGAATAGATCTAAGTAGGTGACTGCAGTGAAGAAAACATTCTGTGGCACATCAAACCAAATTCGAAGAAAACGTAGGATCTGAACAGCACCATCCCTAGAATTGAGTGATACTTCCCATGGCTTGAGGTCTTGTTGAATAACTAAGAGATTCGGCCTGTAGAGTGCCTCAACAGCAAGAGCCTCTTCAAGGTTAAATGCAATGGGTTTCATATTGATGGCATCGGGTAAAGGCCGACCCCTTCTTTTGCTTGCTTGGTCCATAGCTCTGGTAGTTCTTTTTGGATTATTGAACAAACCTTACCATCCCACCGTTTTCTTCTAACAAAAAATCGGTTGCAGCAAAAAAAGGAGAAGGCCTAAAACCTGAAACAAAACAAGGATTTGAACAAAAAATCCTTTGACAAGTTTTTCCTGAATACGTACCCTGATGCCTCGAGAAGATGTGTTATTGTAGTTTGATTTTCAAAAAAAATTCAAACTAAAAAAAAAGCATAACCATAAAGACCTTTCCTGTGTAAACTTGTGGGACTAAAATATTTATATTTTACATGGATTTGGATCATCAAAGATCTAATCAGTGTTGCCAAGTGTCGAACATAAAATGTAGCAGAAAGTTAGGAGAAACCGCTAGAAGTCCAAACAGCGAGCGAAGCGAGCAGGAAGCCCGCTGCATGCGAAATTTTGGAAATTTAGCGAATTGTTTTCGTGATTTAGCCACATTTTTGTTTATATCTTCTCATTTTCCTATGATTTTTGATGCTGATTAAGGCATATGGCATAGAAGTAACGCAAATGATGAAAAAAAATCCTGGCATCTGTCTTTCTCTTACCTGCTTATCTCTTCGCCTCGAATAGCCTCGAATGTATCCATGTGAATTATTCATTTCTGTCGTCACCAATTCATATCATGGAAGTATCTCCATATAAACCACTATGACTTTTTTGAAAACGTTGGAATTCCAACACGTCGCAAATCTTGTTGTTATGTTTCATTCACCTACCCTAAACTCTCACAAGCGTCTAGTTGGACCTGCGAATCTTTCAAACATCGAGGTCAAGTGACGTCACCCACAACACATGATATTTCCAAAATATTTCTTCCTTCTTTATATTGAGAAACTACGACTACTATATGGCTTAGTGGTCTGTGTATCTGACTCCCATTGTGGTGACTAGGGATCAATCCCTCTGCGAAGCGTAATTTTTTCAAAAAAATGTTTCACTCAATTAATTTTTCACATAATATACTCTTCAGGAGAGTCATTGAGGACAAGTAAGGTTGAAAGTACTCTCCTTCTTCATGCAAAAGAAATATTTTCCTTTCTCATATTACATCGTAAATTTTATACACGAATAACCTTCTGATAACCCCGGAGTTTGAAAGATTCGCTGGTCAATTCAAATACTTGTGGATATTTCATTAACATTTCCCAATAAACCCGATAAGAGTATCAAGGTGAAGGTGGTGGGAGGCAATTACGTCAAAATGACGTCAACATTGACTATTATTGATTCCTAATTCTTTCACTCCACCCACTTTCCACAGTTTACTAAGATATTCACTTCATACATTCTCAATTCGAATGTTCTCATCATATCCTCAATTTGACACATTCATCATTTGTAAACAAATAATCACCTTTCACCACCTCCATCAACTACGAGGGCAGGTAGAGTGGGTGTACCCAAACGGAAATTACGTCTTGGTCAAACTCAATGAAATGGAATTATCAGCGGCTTCAACCATGACGGGTTATGTGAATGAAATATCCCTCTCAGCGACAAAACCGCTGAGGTGGCAACATTGAATCCATTCTAGGATCCAGCAAGGCTGTTCCTGTTCCTGACTGACCGAAAATATATTGTTCTAGATAAACTTGCCACCCTGAGTTACTCGCATTGCACAGATACAACTCGCTCAAAAATTAATATGAGTTGGATGATCTCGCCATATTATGGGAATATCGAAATTGAGAATGAAATCCAATTGATCGAAGTAATGTCAATATTTCCAAAATGAAAAAAATGTATCAAACTCATGGTGAAAATGAACTGGAACAATTCATTTTTCATTGTCATCCACTTGGCGAACCCAATGATCCCAAAACTCATTTTTAGTACTATTTTTCATCAAAGAGTACTTTCGTACTGAACATTTTCGAATAGTATTAAATCTAGTACTTAAGTGCTGACTGGAACAGCCCTGCAATAATCAACCCAAATGACATGTTGACATGACATTAGACATAAATGTCTTTCGCAAATAATTCAATAACTTGCATGCTGCTGTGCTGCTCGTTGTGATACTTAGCCAACACACGATATTCCTTCTTTCTTCATAGTTGGAATGATGATGGAAGTAGGATATGGTGTAATTGTTTCAGAAATTTTACTCGACCTCTCGAGAACAGCGAGAGCAATGGTTCCGTCGATCTTCTAATAGATGGCGACATTGCACAATTATAACATCTGTCAGTTTTGAAATTGTCGCAGATTTTTCGAATCGAGAGTTGAATAATCCCATTGTTACATACATGTTAAATATGTTCCGCGTACCTAAAATGCTATTTGCCATTTTATTTCCACCCGTCACAGCAGCAATAGAAGCATCACCATCTAGCAAAAAAATGTAGAATTAACGTCTTGCTCGTTGTGACGTAGAGAAATCATAGTAGGCGGTCGAGTGATTTTTCTGAAATTTTCAATACGTGAGAATGGCCGAATGCGCGAACCATATCTTACTTCCATCATTGTTAAACCTTCGTAGCTCGATACAATAGCTCAGTGGTCAGTGTATCTGACTTGGCGGTGCTTGCGTTCATACCCTCACAATTTAAAAATCGTCCGTGCATGTATATAAAAAAAAATAGTTTTCTGGTTGCTAGATAATAAAATTTTCCACTGATTAGGTCTGTTAGGATAGTATTGTATGCATTGCATTGCATTAGATTTCATAATTACATTGTTACTATTTCTTAACATCTATTGTGAACATAAAGGGCTTTCACACTCCTTGCTTTCACACAGGGTTGATAGTGACGTCAATATTAGTGGTGGAGAACTATCGATAGCACTATCGACAACTATCGATAGTATTAACTATCGAGACGCTATCGATAGTACTTTGTCACTATCGATAGTTTTTGATAGTTGCCCATGCCTTGTTTGTATTGAAAAAATGTTTTAGATAAATGGAAACGAATTACATCCACTTCAGCATTGTGCAAAAAAATACTTGTGCATACCAGCAACATCAGTGGAATCAGAACGTGTATTTAGTACGACGGCAGACTGAAAGCCAAAAATGCAGACGGTCAAGACTGAAAGCCAAAAATGTTGATGTCTTAACTTTTATCAACAAAAATGGGTGGCTAGTTACTAAATAATATACTTTTTCTTAAAATAATATTGTTTGTTTTATTTTTTTCAAGATTTTTAATATTCATAATAACAGAAGTGAGGTTAAGTTAGATCTTGAATAAATTGTATTTGTATTGTTTAACTTGAAAATGTCGCTAGTGCTGTTGAGATTATATCCTCATTAGAGAAAAAATCTATTAAATCATTTTTTTTTCGTCTAATGTCAAAATTATAATGAGACTGAATTTTTTTCAAACTATCGACAACTATCGATAGTTCGATCCTTTACTATCTACTACTATCGATAGTGCGGACTATCGATAGTTCTCCACCACTAGTCGATATGTCAACACATACAGTGTTGCCAGTTGAAAGGAAATGACTGAATGATCAACCGCCCGAATATGGATATGTCTAGTGCTACGGTCGTCGGACGTTATAATGTTTTTTGGAACCAACTCAAAAGCCGTCCATTTATTTCTCAAAATCACACTTGAAGTTGATGAATGAACTTCAATATTTGTATTCAATGAACCATGAACCTAAACAATATAATGAATATGAAATTTAATGATAATTAAATTCTTAGAAAGAATAATAATTTGAAGAATGATTTATTATATAACAACATCAACAAACAATCACAGATATTGACATTAAAAATAAATTATTTTGCTACCAATACACAATTATGTCTATGTATTATATCTACTACTCATATATGAAGCATAGCTTTCCCCAAAGCAATATCAACTTCTGTCTCTATAGGTAACGAAGTCGATCAATAGGCGTTGATGCCGACGTAGGGAAAAAATGATACGAAACTTGTCGTACCAACATGGCTGTTTCCATCCTTCAATTTTGGTCCCATTCCTGTTGAGATATCGTATATGCGCCATATATAGATAGAAATAGTAGATATATGCATGGCTCGTACCTTGTGACACTCGTTGCTCATTCATAGGCCTGTTCGTTTGTGCTAGAGCTACCTGCTGAACTCGATTTTTTTCTATGACTTTCTTTGGTTACATCATGGCATGAACAGAGACAACTATGAGAAAAAGATCAACTTCAGCCAGTTTAGCAATACAAACGAACAAGCCTCATGTCACTCATATAAAATTTTCAAATGTCAATTGTTGACTTCTGAGTCAATGATTGTCAATGTCAATAATTAAAGAAATTTAAAATAAAACTCAATCAACTGAATTGACGAAACAATAAAACAAATCAAAGTCGAATGGAATAACAACATATTACGATTATCGATCTGATCAATTCTAGGATTTTCACACTTTCATCATTCATGTTCCAATTATGATCTCAGGTTTTGAATAATAGGTATGGACCAATCTCATCATTCTCATAGCACAGCAACGCAGGTTCTGAATCATCACTATGTCACTAAGGTTCCCAAGATAAGGTGATATAATCTCATCATTCTCATCTAGTTCGGAGCTAGAATAAAGCAAATTGTCTCTATCATTGTGGTACAAAATGGAAGCCCCAGGTGATGATTTATCAGGTGCAGGGTAAGTGTTCATAACAATTCTTGAATGGTATATAAAATATCATTTGAAATAGCTATTTGAGTAGTAGTAGTACATTTTTTATGTGTATCTCAAATATCAATAACAAAACAAATATGCTATACATGGCCTGTTACTATATATCCTATATATCCAAGGTATTATCAGTAAGTGCCAAGTGACAGGTAGGAATCTGAAATAGTATCAATGAGCTCAGAATGCTAAAACCAAGAATAATGTTTGAAAGAAGGTAGGGATATTGGCAGTTCTTCTTTAAGAAAATTGACAGCCAAAAACTATCAACAAAAGTTGGCCACATCATACTGATTGTTTTTTGGTAGGTAGGTAGGAGGAGCCAAAAACCATTAACAAAAGTTGGCCATGCCATATCATACTAATTGTTTTTTGGTAGGTAGGTAGGTAACTTTTGTCTCAATGTCTTATGAAACTATTGTTTTTTATAACTGATATCTAACCATAGAGAGAACCTGTTATTGGTTACAACTTACAACAAGATTAGAGTGAAGTTATCCACATTTCCTCATCCATGAATGTTGACCTCAGATCAACAAATGGGATTTTTTTTGTGATACATCACAGATTACAGAAGCTAAATCACATACAGTGTTGCCAGATACACTATTGA